CCTCCCCAGAGCCCTCCTCGCACCCCACCACCACCCCGGGTTATCTAGTGCTGCCTGCCCGCCCTTGCTTCTTTTCAGACTTCCTGCGAACCTCTGATTCGCGGGAAGCAGGGGCGGGGGAGGAGCAGGGGGCGGAGCGTTCAGGGGAGGGGAGGAGGGGGAAGTGAGTTGGGGGCGGGGTAGAGAGCTGCGGCGGGGCCCTCTTGGCGCGGGCCCCAATTCAGCCGAATCGGCTGAATCGGCCTAAAGCCGGCCCTGCCACCAACGCTTGCATAACCATGGAAATGTAGCCCTTTCTGTTGATGTACTCTGTGGCAAGGCAGGCTGGGGCCAAAATAGGGATATGCGTGCCGTCTATCATGCCACCATAGTTCAGCAACCCCATTGCTTCAAATCCAGCCGCTATGTCCTGCACAAACCTAGTCACAGGCCTGCTTAGCAGGAGACGATTAACGGCCCTGTGCTCTTGCATGACAATGGCCCCCACAGTGGATTTTTCAACTTCAGAATGATTTCCCATTGATCGGTAGCAATCCTGCATTGCAAGCTTCTGAAATGCAATCAGCGCTGGCTTCTCTACTGGCCGTGCAGCTCTCACTCTGCTATCCATGTGCTAGAGGGCTGGGGCAGGCTCGGCTCAGATCCAGGAATGTGGCCTTTCGCCGCCACTGGTCATCATCCCAAACCCGCATTATGATGTGATCAAACCAGTCCAGGCTCGTTTCTCAGGCCCAGAAGCGGCACTCCGTCATCTGCAGCTGCTCCATGAATGCTACCAACAACCTGGAATTGTTCTTTGCTGTGTCCCTCAGCTAACTGTCCTCAAATAAATCCATATGTTTCCCAATGTTGAGGTATTTCCTGCAGGTCTGCAAATACAGGAGGACTGTGAGTCCTGTATTTAGTGTTCATGAGAGGGTTCCATGCTTCGGTCAGAGATGGTGGACATGGAGAAGTTCACATGGGTTTGTGGGATTAAAAAAAAATAAAAGGGGCAAAAATGATGGGATATTGATGGTATTATGGGATGGAGGAAGTTGCATGCTGGGAACTAGACCCCTTCTCCCAGAGATCCCTGGGTAAGTCACTTCTATCCCACAGCACATTTCCTCAAGGGCATTGCATGGGACGGCGGCACATGGCGCACTGGGGTGCCTGCCCGTGGTGCACTACACTTTGCATTGGCACAAGCACTCCTGGTGGGTACACGCAGCTCCGACACAAGCAGCCAAGTGTGCATGCACACGAGCAATATACACGCTTTGGCGACTGTGCGCCGATGCAACTTGCGCCAACCAAAGTTTGTAGTGTAGACGTGGCCTCAGCCAGCAAGGGCTAATGGCCCCACTGAGCCCTGCCCCATTACACAGACGTGCGCTGTCAGGTAAAGTTACGAGGGCAGAGCACTGGAGAACAGCTCAGTAGCTGGCTGATCAGGGTGGAGAACAGATCTCCTTTCCTTTGCTTCCTGGGGAGAGGCCCAGCCCTGCCCCTCTGCTGAGACTGCTGATTGCCAGAGTCCTCCAGAAGATGCTAAGTCTGGCACAGAACTGTTGAGTTTGGATTTGGGATTATTTCTTTGCTTTAGTCCAAAATGACTATCAGGCTGTCCGTGCTGCCTGGGCCAGGTCTGCGGGGCCTCGTGGGGATCCCCTGCCCAAGGAGGATGTGGGGAGTTGCCTCAATAAACTCCGTGGACTTTTGCTCCCTCTGGAGTCTGCCCTGAAATGTGTCTTGGACCCTGAAGAGCACAGTCATGAGCCCCTATTAACTAGATTAAAAACTGTCTAACTGATAGAGCTCGATGGGGATCATCAAGGGGGATTGTCAGCCAATGGGGCTGCTTCTCGTGAGGTCTGCAGGGATGGGTTCTAGGTCTGGCGCTATGCAATAGTCTGGAAGGAAATACGGCTCACAGATTGGCAGAGCGGTAAATAATGCTGGGGACAGGGCTGTCATAGAGAGCGACCTGGCTCACGCGCTGAGCTGGGCTCGTTTGAACACACCTCTACGCAGGGCCCAGCACGTCTAGAGCCCAAGAACGTCGGTCCCGTTTATGAGATGGGGACTATAGCCTGGAACATCCTGTGTCTCGGGATGCATGCACAGGTGGGCGGGAGGGTCAGTGTGAGTGCAGGAGTGTGAGGCAGCGGCGTGCAAAGGGGACCAGTGAAAAGGGGCATGGGCTGGTTGTGAGTGGCGCAAAGAGGCAGGGTAGGAGTGTGAGTAGTGGGCATGCCAGCATTTCACCTGTCCCTCTTCCCCCAGGCTTCCCCGGCGTGAGGCTGGCCCAGCTGCCCGCCCAGTGGCTCCATGACGAGGGAGGTGCCCGTCTGGATGGTGCCCAGGTAGGGAGGAGCCAGCGCCCACCATGCCCTACGCCCTCCCTCCTCTGCACTGCGCCCTCAAGATGATGTCCCGCAAGAAGGCGCTGCTGCTGCTGCTGCTGGCACTCAGCACCCTTAGCCTGCTCATCCACCAGAGCACGCACCTCAACTGGTACAGAGCAAGGGAGGGGGAGGGGGAGGATGGGGTCATGCGGGAGTGGGCAGAAGAAGGGTTGGAGCATGGAGGGGGGTAGAGCTAGAGGATGAGGCAGGGGGCCTGTCGAGTGGGGCTATGGGGACAGGGCTAGGGAATGGGGGCAGGGGTGGGGCATGGATAGTAGGCAGGGCGGGATGGTACAGGGGCAGAGCTAGTGGGCATGGGGCTAGGGACAGGGGCAGATGGGCACATGGGGCTGGGACATGAGGAGGAAATGGATGGCCCCATTGAGCTGATCAGGGCAGGGGTTCAGGGGAGTGCTGGGCTGGCCATGCCCCTCGTGCTGACCCCCCCTCTCCCAAGCAGGTCCCCCAAGCCTTCCTCCCCGGGCTGCCCCCCAGCCCCCTCGTCCCGCCCCAAGCACACCTCGGTGGCCTTCCTGAAGACCCACAAGACAGCGGGCACCACAGTGCAGAACATCCTTTTCCGCTTCGCTGAGCAGCACAACGTGACGGTGGCGCTGCCCCACCACGCCTGCGACCACCAGTTCTGCTACCCCCGCAACTTCTCCGCCCGCTTCGTGCACCCACACACCCTGCCCCCCCGCATCATCGCCAGCCACCTGCGCTTCCAGCGTCAGGAGCTGCACCGCCTCATGCCCAACGACACGCTCTACGTCACCATCCTGCGCGAGCCCGTCGCCATGTTCGAGTCACTCTTCACCTACTACAACCAGTACTGCTCCGCCTTCAAACGGGTACCCAACGGCTCCATGGAAGCCTTCCTGGCCAACCCGCTGGCCTTCTATCGCCCCCAGGAGAAGTTCTCCATGTACGCCCACAACACCCTGCTCTACGACCTTGGCGGGGACAACGACCACAGCCCCGCCGACCCCGCCTACCTGCCCGGCTTCATCCGCCAGATGGAGGAGGTCTTCTCGCTGGTGATGATCGCCGAGTACTTCGACGAGTCACTGGTGCTGCTGCGCCACCTGCTCTCCTGGGACCTGGAGGACATGCTCTACGTCAAGCTCAACATGCGCGGTCCCCGGTCCAAGGGCAACGTCAGCTCAGAGGCGCTGGCCACCCGGATCCGCGCCTGGAACGGGCTGGACGCCCAGCTCTACGACCACTTCAATGCCACCTTCTGGCGCAAGGTGGCGCAGGCAGGGCGGGAGTGCGTGGCGGAGGAGGTGCGGGCGCTGCGCCGGGCCTGCGAACAGCTGCTGCGCCGCTGCTTCGGGGGGCGGCCCCAGCTGCGCCCCGCCACGCAGATCAAGAACAAGGAGCTGCGGCCCTGGCAGCCCAGCTCCAAGGTGGACATTGTGGGCTATGACCTGCCTCCGGCTGTGCCCGGCTCAGGTGCCCCCCCTGACGAGCGCTGCCTCAAGTTGGTCATGCCTGAGGTGCAGTACTCCCGCTATATGCTGCGCAAGCAGAGCCTGCGTACCCGCCGCAGGGCCATGCTCCACCGCCCCCTGCCCCCCCGGGGAGTCCCGCGCCCAGCCAGGGCCCTCCCACTCCGCCACCCCGCAATGCCCAAGGCAGCCTGAACAGGGGCTGGGACCTTAGCCCAGATTAGAGACTCACACCTGGGCGTGGGGCTGTGCAGGCATCGTGGACCTGGCTTTCTGTGCCCCCCTGCCCTCAGATCGGCCTTTGCTGGCCCCCTGCTCCCTCCCTGGGACAGTCCCCATCCTGCACAACAGCCCCACTCCCTCCCCCTGCATTCCACGTCCCTTTGGGAGGGCTGGATCTGAACTGAACGCCATTGAGGCCTGATCTGGCACTGGGAAGCTGCCCCCTTCCTGAGCCTGCGTCGGGTCCATTTGCAGGTTCTGGATGGTTTGCATGTGACCTGGATTTGGAAATCCACCAATCACAGCCTGGGGACTGAGGCAGCGGGAGCCTGGGAGGGACGCCCAGCAACTCAGCACGGAACAACAGTGTCTATGGTTTGGGGCCAAGATGGTGGCCGCCCCCAACTCCAGCCTTTCTCCACTAGTGCTCCTCCGCCCCAGCATTGGCCCATACCTCCCCCTAGTGCTGCCACTCACATGCGGACATAGCACTTCATGGGAGACACAGGGCCCAGGTCAACCCTGGGGAGGCGGGACTTGAACCCCTGCCCCAGGTAACAGAGCAGGGCCCCTCACACTAGCACCGGGGTTGCAGGAGAGAACCTCCCCTGGCCAGGCACACAACACCACACAGCCTATCGCACACAGACACCCCCCATCACTCGCAGAGCACCCCCTCATCACAGATAGCGCACACATCCTATCAGTCCCCACCCCCACTTGTGTTTACCCACACACCTTGCACACAGTGCTTAATCTGTCATGAAACAGGTGCCGGGGCTCAAGCCATTTTTTTTCATTCATACCTGATGCAACAAGCCCAGAGGTGCTGGGGCTAGGCACTGCCAGGCCCAGAGGTGCTGGGGCGCCGCCCTGACAAGCCCTGGCCCAAATTAAACACTGGTTGCACACGTGCACAGTGTCACACACACAATCACTCACAGCTGGCCCCCTGTGCAATCACACACACACACCCCTCGCCAGGGTGCCACACTGGTGTGGCAAGGCGACAGTGTCCCAGCAGGGAGTGACTCCCTCCCTGAGACCCCAAGGGGGCACAGCCTGCTCCTCCCGCCCCATGAGCCATTCCCTGGGTAATGGGTTCCCAGGAAGAGGCTGATGCTGAACAACTGTCAGGGGGATGGGAACCTGCCCCCAATAAAGGACTCTGTGAGGTGCCTGGTCTGCTCTGGTGTCTGTGGCTCATGGGGGGCAGGTGGGAGGTTCTGGTGGGTGGCTCTCTGTGGGTCATTGCCCCATGGGTACCCCAGGGTGTGACTCCTGACACTCAGCAGACATTGGAGCCCGTAGCTGGCAGCAGTCGGAGGTTGTTATCTTCCATGTGGCCAGAGCCTGAGGGGGGGCAGTCAGGCACACATGGCATGTGTTGCACACACACCTTGAGCGTGACTCTAGGGACCAATGCAGCTGTGTCTGGGGAGGAGTTGAGGCTGGTTCTTGAGGATGGTGACTGGCTTGCTGGCACCGATGGATGCTGGACTCACTGCAGGAGTGTTGTCAGGTAGAGGGGACCAGGTGCCTCATTCCCAGCCTCCAACCCTTGCTCCCCTTCCAGCAGGTCCCCCAGAGCTGGGTTTGCTAGGTCTCAGCCTAGCTCCAACAGAGGTCTTGAGGCAAGAACAGGGGTCCATAAGCCCCTGGCAGGGAGTCCACAGGGCATGGACCACAGAGATCTGCCGTGGAGAGAAGGGGTCAGTGTGGGGCAAAGGAAGAGGCATTGGCAGGTAGCAGGGAGAGGGGAGGTGCAGCTGCACAGATGCCCCCAGCAGGCCTAGGCAATGGGCATGTTGGTACAGGGTGAGGGGGGCATCTAGTGGTCAGACTGCGTGCCCCAGGGATCTTGTGCCCCCCTTTCCTGGACCTTCTTATGCAGAATGGGGTTGGGGGTCACAGAGTGGAGGACAAGGGGGGCAGCAAGTAATTGCCCCCTTGTACCATAAAGGTGAGAGAGTGACACCAGTGGCAGCAGCTGGCTTCACACATCCCTGGCAGAGGGCGAAGGACCATCCTGCACCATAGACCGTACCCAGCCCAGGGCGTGGGATATGGGCCTTTTCCCCTCTTGAGGGCACCAGACCCAGGGCAGCAGGACTAGCTAGCTCAGGGGAGCAGGCAATGGGGGGCTGGTATGTGGGCAGAGGCTGTCTCTCTCCCCTCCCCCCCCCCAGCAATCCCACACTGAGCATGCCAGCACAGATGGCAGTGTGAAGACATGGCAGCCGATAGCTCCAGGGAGTGGGATGAGTGACCTGCAGAGATGTGGACACCCCAATGGTGGTGGTGGGGCACCGCTGGGCCAGGAGGATGAGGGCTGGCTGGATCATTGGACTCATTGGGGTCCATTTACAGCCCCTCGAGGAGCACACCTCTCTGACCTTGCTTCTGCACAACTGGGAGCTGATGGGGGCGCTCCCATGTGCAGGGTGGGCAAGACCTGTCTGGATGGGCCCACAGCTCTAATGTGGGGTGGCACGGTGGAGGGGATACCAGGGCGGATTGGCGGCAGGGAAGAGGGGATACCAGGGCGGATGGGTGGCAGGGTGGAGGATAGTATTGGACTGATAACATTGGCAGCACACCAGCCCCTCTGTGTCCAGAGTCTAACTGAACCAGTTCTGGCTGAGATACATAATGCTAAAATCTGCGCACTGATGCAGATTAAAAAGTAATCTTCTATCCCCCAGCACTGGGGGGACTTAGGCAAGTGCCTAGTCACGGGCCTGAGCCATGGAGATACGGGGCTGACGCTTCTGATCATCACAGATTTCTTACCCTCCCAAGCTTCAGGCTCATCCCTCCAGTGCAGAGAAGCATGCACAGCCACAGAACCACACAGCCACCCCCAGAGAATATGGGACGCAGTTAAGCTCCGTGGCCCAGCCCTCAGGCAGCTGATTTTTGCAAAAAGATTAGATCTGCCCAGATTCCCCACAATTTCAGGACAATAAATGCCTCCCGGTGGCAATAGGATTTCAGAAATATAAATGCTACTACTGTGCATAGCTCACATCCTGAGATGCAGCCGTCTCTGGGGTGGGGCACAGGGGCTCTCTATGCAAGGATCCCTCACCCAGCCCTGAAATGCAGCCACCTCTGGAGTAGAGCGCAGGGGGCTGGCTGTTTAACAGCTGAACGTGTGTTTGTGACAGGGAGTGGGGAAGGACAGTGAATTTAATTTAAGCCCTAAGGGGGAGAAGATTTCAGAGCTGCATTGGGACATTAGGACCAGCACTGACTGGGAGGGGAGACTGGCCCGCTACTGCGCCCCACCCCACTCCCTACAGCACAGCACCCCCTAGCACCACGCTATGGCATTGGGGTCAGTCCCATGCCTGTGGTGTCCCAGCCCAGCCCTGCTGAGCGTGGGAGTCCCGGCTGGTCACATCCCAGAGCTGGGCATAGGCTGCAGCTATTCTAGGCCTTGGGGTCCCCTGGGTCCTATACTGGCAGGCGGGCCCAGCTAATTACAGCTGTAGAGATTAACCTTGCCATGCAGAGGTGTGGGGGGAGGGAGTAAGGGACTCCTGAAGGGTGCAGGGGGGAAGGGGAGCAAGGGAAGGGTCCATGCACTGGGCCCAGCACCTCTCAGCCCCCTGTCCTCCCCCCACAGCTGGGGCTGAGACTCTGCAGGGGCGGGGGCAACCGACTTCGCAATGGGATTTTCTCACTAATCCCCTGGGGCCTCCTTTGATTGGCTCAGACAGACACTGGGCTGTGGGTCAGACAGACACAGCAGCTCCTCCCAGTGGAGCCTTGTGGTCCCCAGAGCTGATTACAGGGAGCACGTCCGGGATGACCTCCCCTCTGCCTGGCCCAGGACAGAGCCACAGGCGGCATCGGAGGAGGTACGGGCACTGCCCCAATCTCTCCACACAGGGACTGGCACAGCTCCCCCACACCCTCATAGGAACCAGCACAGCCCCCCACCCCATAGAGACCAGCACAGCCCCCCCGCATAGGAACCAGCACAGCCCCAACTGCCACAGCATGCCCCCCACCCCCATAGGAACCAACACAGCCCCCACATAGGAACCAGCACAGCTCCATCTGCCACAGTATGGCCCCCACCCTCATAGGAACCAGCACAGCCCCCCTTCACCATCCCTCCACAGGGATGGGAACTATCCCCCTCCTCCACAGCCCAGCCCCCCATAGAGGCCAGCACGGCTCTTCCCCTCTGCTGCAGCTGCCACCCTTCCCACCCAGCAGAGACCAGCACTGCTGCCCGCTGCCACCCCCATCCCCCAGGGACCAGCACAGTCTTGAGTGACACGAGTGCCTGGGCATCAGGTTGACACTCCCTGGCCTGGGCCATCCAGGAGGTCGGCCTAGAGGCTCTAAAAGACCCTTCTGGCCTTAACATTTGTGAATGAACCTACAACTCCCTCCATTCTCCACGCACACCCACCAACCACCCAGCCTGCATGCTCACCCCCGTCACCGTCTATCCGTCCAGTCCCCCTCCCATCCCACACACTCAGCAGCAGGAACTGGGGGTGTTGCTGCCTCTCCCTGTGCGGGTGAGGGGTGGAGCTGATTAGGGGGTACTGCTGGCAGGATGGGGTGGAACTGACAAGGTGAGTGCGGGGGTGACCCCTGCTGGGGCAGAGCCTCCTGCTCCCAGGGTGGGGCAAGCAGGCCCTGGGGGTGCTGTGTATCAGGGAACAGCCCAGGTGGGAGCTGACCCATCCCTGCCTCACCCCACAGCCCTGGAGCACAGGCAGCTGAGCTGTGCCGGGTATGGCAGGAGCTGTGTGTGCGGGAACGCCAGGCGCGGGACCGGAACCGCCAACTGCTGCAGGACTTTGGTCACCTGGAGACCCAGCTGGGGCTGCTCTGGGCCAGGACAGATGCTGTCAGGAGGAGGAAGGTGAGACGGGCTCAGCACCAGGACATCTTGCTGAGCGGGCTGATCACAGAGAGCCGCATCCGGGGAGAGTCAGACTCGGACAGGGGACAGCACCCCAAGAGAAATAGACTGAATCAGGACTCCTGGCTTCAAGCCCGTGTTCTCAGAGGGGAGTGGTGCCTAGTGGTTAGTGTGTGTGTGGGTGGGGGGGGGTGAACTCCTGGGTTCTATCCTCCTGGAAAGAGGATGGTTTAACACCATCAGTGCAGAGGGTGGGTGGAAATCAGTAATTCCATGGGGCAAGAGAGGATGCTGAGACACCGGGGAAGGAATTCAGCCCTGGGGGATCCAGATGGGGCCTGTGGTGGGACCAAGGGCAGAGGGTCGCATCCCTGTCTTGCTCATCTCAGGTGGACTATGACAAATTTCTGCAGCGGCTGCTTCTTCACCCAAGGATGGAGGCAGGGAGCCCTGGCCAGGTCCCTCAGCACCAGGTAGGCACAGCCCAGTCACACTAAACCTCTTGGGCGAGAGGGAGTTGGCACCAGAGTGTTGGAGCATTGGGGCCGGCACTGACTGTGAGGGGAGAGTGCCCCCACCCCTCCCTGCAGCCCTTCCTTCTCCCTACAGTTCTTGGGTTCTCCCCCTCACCCTCCAAAGCACTGGCCTGGCCTAACCCTGCTTAGCGTGAGCTCTGCCTTGAAGCATGATGGGCTCTGGAATCATCCAGATACTCGGTTGATTTCTCTTCCCCCTCTCCCCAGGACTGGGTCTCCGCCTGGACGTTGGACCTGCCTCTGCGCTCACACTCTGGGAGATACCTCCCTGACCCCACACAGTGGATGAACCATCTGCAGTATCGGACCTGGGGGCCTCATCCCGTCTCCCCCACACAGTCCCCAGAGCCTGCTGCCTTCCTTGCATCCACAGGGGCAGGTGGGGCTGGGCCCATGGAGGGTAAGGAGATAGCCCTGTCCCTGTTCTGTGCCGCTCAGCCTGGAAGCCCACCCGGACTCCTGGGTCCTCCTGTCCCTGCTGATGCCTCTTTCTTCTCTGCCCCCTAGCAGCCAGGCCCACAGGGGGCCCCCTTGGTACACCCTGGCTCCACAGAGGGCACATCGCCAAGGACCATGGCTACAGGATGCCAGCTGCTATGCCCCCTCAGGAGTCATCCCTGCTTCTCCCCCCACATCGTCTCCGCTTTCCCAACACAGCTGAATCAAAGGGTGCGCCTGGGGAGTCCGTGTGGGTGAGGGACGGGGCTCTCCTGGGTGGCAGTGCTCCAGGCGCCCCCCTGGCACCCGCAGCAAGAGGAGAGCTGCTCCTGGTGGGGAGGCCCAGGGGCCTGTCCTGAGAAGTGGGGAGTCCAGAGGGTGGATGGGCACATGGAGGGTGCAGCACATCCCGGCCACCGGGTGCCATCACCCAGCCATGTCCATGCAGCACTGGAGGGGAGTGGGGGTGTGGGAAGAAGGGTGCTCTAGGAGCTGAGAATGGGGAGTGGGGTAGCTGGGGGGCTAATGTGTCTCTGGAGGGGGGGTCCAATCTACAGGGGTTCAATCCCCCAGCCTTCATCCAGTCTCCTGGGAGGAGCCCTACCTCTTTGCCAAGCCCTAGGCGTGGCATTTCACAAGGGCGAGCTCTGCAGCTCTCTGTCTCTGAGGGGGCAGCTAGACCCAAAGGCCCCTTCTCCCCACACTCTGCAGCGAGTCCACCTGAATGGAGACTCCAGCGGGGGCTTCCCCTCTCCAGGCAGCGTTAGTCGCCTGCACGCCAGGATCAGCTCAGCCTGGGAAAGGCAGGGGGCCGAAGCAGCCAGATTTGCTGGAATCCTGTGCGGGGCGGAAACTCAACCCTCTGACCTGCCCCCAGGCCCCTGGCCTTTCAGAAGTGGCTCAGCCTTCCAGCTCCCGCTGCCTGCAAATCCTTCTGCCATATTCCATCCAGGGGCCAGCCTTCTGCCGGCTTGTGAAGGGGAAGGGGAGCCCTCTTCGGCTTGGCAGGTCTCCCGCAGCAGCCTCACCCCAGCTCCTGCTGCCCCTCCAGTTTGACACTGGGAAGCCCTGAGCCTCGCTGGCAACCCCCCCTCCCACTAGCCTGGGCAGCAGCCTCTTGTCCCAAGCCTCGCTGGTCAGCCAGTTAGCCACAGCTGCGGGGAGCTAGTCTGCCCTTAACGACTGTGGCAGAGCAGGGTTTATACACCCCACTCAGGGCCCCTCCTTGGTACCTCATTTCAATGTGTCTTCACTGCAGGCACCTTAACCAGGGGCCTGCCCCCCTTGGGGTTAGATACTCGTTGGGTCCAAACTGATCCAGGCTGCTCCATTGGAGCAGGGGAGTGTTACCTCGGCACCATGTCTCCCACCCCCTGGGCCCTCCTCCCATCCATCTCTCTGGGGCTGAGGCACCAGCTGTCCCAAGGGCAAGTCCACTGGACCTGAGGGCTGAGCCCCACCCCGGGCACATCACCCTCCATATGGGTTAGCCCAGAGGCCTTCTGCTGATGAGCCTCAGGTCTATCCAGGCCCCCAAAGGCTGGGGAAACGGATCTTCCCTCTGGAGGTGCAGGCCCCAGCCAGTTACACCCCATAGTCCTGACCCGCGAGCAGCTTGCCTGCCCACTCATGTCCTATTCAGCTACAGCCTTGCACCTCAGGACTTTAGGATCCCACGACAGGAGTCAACCATTCCCCCCAGTTCAGGTTTGCCCTAAACCCCCAAGTGACCCCTTTGTGCGGCCCCAACTTGTGCCAGTCCCCACCTTTGGTTTTTACTCCGAGCCAGACCTACTGGCTATGATCTCATCTGCCGAACGACCCGTGCTACACAGCTCCCGATCTACTAACCACAGTCTGAGCTCACGCTAGCAGATTCCACAGAACTGGTCTGGCCCCCCCCCAGGTCTGACAAAGAATCCAGCACAGTGACACCTGCCCCTTTACCCCCTTTGTGGTAATATCTCCCATCAGAATGGCAACCCCATATACATCCCCCTGGGTCTGCTGCACACCCCAGCCCCTTCTCCTGCGACGAGCCTAAGGGGGCAGTTCACACATTAGCAATAAGACCTTTTGGAACCATCCCTAGACCCCAGTATAGGCCCCCACCATTTGACTAAACAACCCAAGGCTCTGGGACCTGGTGAGGGAGTGAGACGGCAGAGTCTGTCCGCAGGGGCACCCGCTTCAGATGGCAAGGCAGGAGGTAGGTGGAAGCATTTATGGGGTCTGAGCTCAGCGTGCACAGTGACAAACCGGGGCCTGGAGTCCGAAGGAGTCGGAGAGCTGTGGCACTCGCCCTGGGAAAGGCTAAGCTTGGGGCTGTCAGAGAAATAGGGATCCTCCCAGGAGACTGGGTAAAGGCCAGGGCAATGAAGCCTTGCAGATGGATGACAGGGTGGCTTAGGGGGCTCTGTGGGGTGGCAAGGCTTGGGGAGGGGATTCGGGGGGGGGGGCGCTGGAGGGGGTCTGCAGGTGGGGGGGAGGAGGCTCTGTGCTACAAATGAGCTGCTTGTGGCCTTTGCCTCCCTCCAGGGCCTGGCACAGTTGCTGGCTCTGCTGCAATCCTGTGGCATGGATTTGGGAAGGGATCGGGCACTTCGCTGGGCAGCCCTGGCCCTGGCCATGCCCAGCCTGGCAGCTGTAGCCTGTACCAGCTGCACTCCCCTCCCTTCCAGGGACTCGCCCCCAGCCCACGCAGACCAGGGCACGTGCAGGAGCTGGGACACGCACTGAGGACGCCGCCAGCTCTGGGGTGAGGCACCGACACCGGGCAGCTAACAGGGCCTCCAGGAGGCTGTTGTGGAGAGGAGCCTGGGAGCAGGACAGCACGGAGACAGATTGTGAGGAGTCCTGGGACAGGTACCTCCCTGGAATCCCCCCAAGGTTCCCAGCCATTGAAGAGAACCCCAAGGAATGGTGCATCACCCATCCCAATATGCAGCCACCTTTGGGATGAGGTGCGGGGGCTGTTTATACAGGGATCCCTCGCCCTGCACTGAGATGCAGCTGGCTCTGGGGTGGGCCACTGGGGCTGTTTGTACAGGGATCCCTCACTCTATGCTAAGATGCAGGTGCCTCTGGGGTGGACCACAAGGACTTGTGCCTAGCGGTCTTATCCTGTGCTCAGACTCTGTCTCTCATCCCTAGGGTCCCAAGACTGTGGTGCAAGAAGAAGCCAGGAGGAGACACCACAGCCCTGGATCAGTGGGGGAGCAGGAGCTGGCGCCAGGAGCCATGGGGGGAGCAGGCAGGGGATGACAGGCCAGAAGAGTCTCCGGGGAAGCCAAGGCAGAGGCTGAGTGTCAGAGTGAGACAGCCTGGGGGGAACAGGGATTGTGGAGAAGGGGCACAGCTGAAGAGAGAGGGAGGGCAGGTTCCCATCCCGGGGGTAGGGCAGCTGGAGGGAGGGGAGGGACGCTCAGCCATGGGGCAGACACAGAAGGAGGAGGAGGAAGAGGAAGGTCTGGCAGGGAAATTGGGGGGCCAAGAGAGGGAGGAGGATGAGGAGGGGAATGAAGGCCTGGTGGGGAGGCAGGGGGGCCAGGAGGCAGGGGAGAAGGATGAGGAGGGCAATGGGGAGGAAGGCTCTGGAGGGGCAGGGGAGGAGGGGGAGGCAGAGGGGAGGGGGAGCAAGGAAGGCTCCGCTTTGGAACGTGTCCAGGCATCAGCAAATGGGGGGGAGGATGAGGAAGGCCTGGTGGAGAGGAGGGGCCAGGAAGAGGAAGGTCTGGCAGGGAGTCAGGGGAACAAGGAGGAGGACAGCAAGGAGGAGGAAGACCTGGTGTGGGGGCAGAAGGGCCAAGAGGATGGTGAGGATGAGGAGATGGAGGGTGAGGAAAGCCTAGCAGGTGGGCAGGGGAGTGAGGAGGAGGAGGGCAGCAAGGAGGAGGAAGGCCTGTCGAAGGGGCTGGGGGGCCAGGATGGGGCCAAGGAGGAGGAGGAGGAAGGTCTGGTAGGGTGGGGGGCCAGGAGCAGGGTGAGGAGGAGGAGGAGGAAAGTCTGGTAGGGTGGGGGGC